GGACTCCTGTGCGGACAAGGTAGCCGGCTGGGGAAGGGTAGGCGCCAGCCCCATCCCAGGCTGTGGCTGTGGGTCTCTCTGCCTCCCTCCCTCCCTGTTTCCGTCTCCCTCCTCCCTCCGGAGGGACAGGGCGAGGTTGGTGATGAGTCGCCCGGCTCCTCCGCGCGCTCCCCGCCCGGGATGGTGGGCAGGGAAGGCGGGCGGGCAGGAAGGAACACAGCGCTCCGGGTGGTATAAACATGAGGCCTTTACTCTGCAGGAGGAATTCACATTTCAAAAGCTGGTGGTCGTCAAGATGATGTGAAAGACTATGAGACTGCAAAAATATGAGCTGCTTTTTAAAAACGTGGCCATTTCTAATACAAAATTTGCTTCCGCTTTCAACAGCCTTTCACTTACAAGCAAAGTGTTTAATTGGTTCTCTTTCAAATTTGCTGGCAGACAGTTCACAGAGCACTATTCCAAGCAGGAGGAAAAAGGACAACTGTACCATAGTTAAAACAACAGCGAAAATATCCGGAATTGCAATGGAAACATTTTAAAAACACATTTACCTAGATTTAGTTGGGCTGAAACTACATGGCATTGCTTACATTTTGGAATGCTGTCCATAAATAATCCCGAACTCAGTACTAATATGGGGTCGGGGGAGCCTCCTGAGACAATCAAAAAAACCTCAGAAAGTTCCTAGAAACATCTTGCTTTTAGGATGTGGAGACACTGATCAACAAAAGCATTTACATAAAAACAATATTTAACAGTTTTACACATTACTGCAAAATATAAGGCTGGACTTCAAAGCAAAATTTGAACACAAGTATAAACAGTAAGACCCAATTGCTATCCTGCAAGAGCTTAGGAAACTTTAGTGAGCTAGAATAGACAAGATTACCAATGTGATGTTTTAAAACTGCATTAAGACTCCTGGGTTAATTGGCTTTATAGAATGACTGAATTACAAAATAAAAAGTTTTGGTATCACTTTGTCCTAGCCCCTTTGTTAAATAATGTCAGTTTTACTATTAAGATCTTCAATTTGATTTCATAATTATAAAGAAATCATTTCTAAAAGCTGATTGAAATTATAAATAGGGTAATGATAATACATTTGTCCGTGATTAAAATTCTGCATACCTTTTAGAGAGCATTTTACAAGAATGTTAAGATTTAAACAAAAGCTTATTTCATGCAGTTACAATAAGTTCAGGCTGAGCACTTAAAAAAAGGCAAATATATGTTCAAATTAAATACTAAACCAGAGAAGGGTACTGACAGAAATTAACCCAACCACAATAAATTATAAATTCAAAATTGAAATCCTTTCATTACACTGAAATGGTCAAAACCTTTTACATAAATAATCTTAACTGAGTCAACTATTTTCATTTTGTGGTATTTGTTAATTATATACCCAATAAAAAATTTCTACGAAATTAAGTGTAAATATGGGACTGGAAATAGGTTTAATTTCATTAGATATCAAAAAGCAAAGCCCATGCACCTAAAAGTTTTATTTATTTGGAATTCTCCCCTTCCTCACCTGCACTAGTAACAAGACACTGGTACCAGTATTTCAGATGAAAGTATGCTTTAAACAGAACAAAGAACACGAACTGTAGGGTAGAAGTATTCTGGCTTATGCTAAGAATAAGAAAACAACAAAAAAGCCTTTTTTTAAGTAGACATGCAACCACAGACAAATTTCTCAAGTAATCTAAGACACTTGGCCAATCTGTGTAACAAAACAAAAATAAAGCATTACATTAATCTTTTAAAGAAAAAGGAATAGAAACCCTTAGGTTTCCATATTTTACTTTTTCAGATTTACACATGCAAATCATATTAATATTCACAGATATTTTTCAATGGGAAACACCAATAATTCAGTTTTCCAATAGCATGTGCTATGTTAAAGATTTTTTGACAGTGCATTCATTTAATCTGGTGATTTTCATTTCAGTAAATACCTATTAACAAATTATACTTCAAGCCAAAGAAATTCTTTATAATATCAAAACCAGATTTCTAATCCCATTTAAAGCCACAATGAAATAACCCAGACACACTGCCATTAAAGTTTGTTGTGATGAGACTGTAATAAATGTGCTCTGTGTTCGTGAAGTTCTAACACTTAAGGTGCTATAAACATAAGAGGATGTTACTCTATCATCTAAAAATATGACTCTTTTGATCTTGATCTGTATTTTGTTTTCTAACTTATTAAAACTGAGACCTGCCTCATAATGAGGCACATTTTGGCATCTGTGTAAATGCTGCTACCTGAAAGTAAAAATGAGGAAAAGAAGTTGTGAGTCACATTCATGGGTTTCATAGAAAAATATATATTCCCTGAATCAGTCACATCAAGTGGTCATCATTCAATATGAATTCCAATATTATAAACAAAAAAAATATTAATGGATTTCCTCTATTTCCAACACTACTTCAGAACTCGGATTATTAAAACCCCGGGATTACCAAATCCTCAAGTCCTCGTTGGCTTTGGGGTTGTGAATTGGAGGGACTGCATCTTGCTAGAGTACATATTTACTTCATTCAGAAGTCAAATATGCTCAATGGCACTTCGTGAAATGTGCCTAATTTGTATTTTAATAATGGCATCATGATCGTGGTGAGTCTGAATTTTTATACTCTAATGCAAAACCCTTAAAATTAGCAGGCCGGGATTTTGATTTTTTTTATTCCTTTAGGTTTTTGCTGTAGACCCTGGACACTTCCCATTATAGTTGACCCTCCATATCCAAGGGTTCTGCATCTGGGGCTTTAACCAACCACAACTCAAGAATACTCTACTAGGGGAAAAGCCACATTGTTGCTGTGTACTATGTAGCTAGGCCAACCATCGTTGCTTTGTAGACTTCTCTGTTATTAGTCCTAAACAGTACAGTATAGCAACTATTTGCATAGCGTCTACATTGGATTAGGTATTACAAGTAGAGAGGATTTAAAGTATATGGGAGAATGTGTGTCCGTTATATAAATACCACACCATTTTATAGAAGGGACTTGAGCATCTGTGGATTTTGGGAAGTCCTGGCACCAACCCCACCCCTTGGGATATGGAGGGACAACTGTATTTTCTTCCTCTTAGGAATCAAGAAATTTCTCCAAGACCCTTCCTTCTGAAAAGGGATAATTTTATGAGCGGTCCTTAGTCTTTTCTGTCTGCCTCTCCAACCACCGGCTTCACACACAGAGCTATTTCCTCCGCAGAATTCTTTGTGGTGTCTGTACAAAAGCTCACTGAGAGGAGCCTTCCTGGGACCCACTGGGACTCTCTGGATTATGGTTTTCAGAAAATTCCTCGGAACATGCCAACAAGGGGTTAACTTTAGAGCTAGGAGCAGAATGCAACTGCCAGTTTACTCGTGGCCCGTTTCAATTCCACACACACATTTTCATAGTCACTACTTTTTCTTTCCAGGATCTGATCTGACTAAAACAAAAGCATTTTGCTATTAGTATCTTCTAGCTCTTTTTCACTCTCTGAATTTATACTGGTATCATCCTCTTTATACACATTCAGTAATTTTTTCTTAGCCGCAGCAGAAGCATTTCGATGGGGCAGTTTTCTGCTACTCTTCCTAATCCAGACACTTTCTGGTCCTGAAATCGTTTCCTTTAGATTACTCATTATCTTTATTTTATTGGCAGCAACAGTAGCACATCTGCGGGGAACTCTCCCAGGCACCATTTTTGCTTTCAGAGTGTCACTGGGCATTTGCACTGCATCCTTCTGATTATGCAAACATGTTCTCATTTTTGTATTGGGATCTCTGTCTCTAGGAACAAATTC